TTGGTAGTGTAATGTGATATGATAAGAAATGTGTGAAGCACTATGCAATGGATTATTTATTGGTAGTGTAATATGATATGATAAGAAAGTTTTATGAGGCACTACGCAATGGGTTATCTGTTAGTAGTGTAAGGTGATATGATAAGAATGTGATATGATGCACTACGTAACGGGTCATTCGTTGGTAGTGTAATGTGATATGATAAGAAAGTTGTGCCGACAGTTGAGATCTTTCCCTGATTCCCGATGATATGAAGGGAGTTAAGTGTGAGTCACATGAGAGCACCGCGCCCCCCAATATATGCCTATGACACTATGCAACGGGTCATCCGTTGGTGGTGTAACACCCTCCAGCTATAGGACAAATGATGGTCATGTCTTGTAAGGCCTCCGCCTATCAAAGCTCCAAAGCGCGTTGGAGATTGTGTGTGTGTACGTGAAGGCATTACGAAATGGGTCATCCATTTATGGTGTTTTTTGTCTTGAGTGATGATAGAAGTCCTAAGCAATGGGATTGGCTTGGCCTTATGGATAGGGCTTCTACTTTTGGAGTAGGTGATATTAAGATTGTTTATGCTTGATATATATATGCTTTGTGTTGATTTGTTTTAATGCCCATGCTTGAATGATATGATATATGATTTGTTATTGCTCCACCATGAAAGAAATCACTCACGACACGTTGCTAAATATAATTATGATACATGGCTCCATGTTTATAAGACTTGCATGAACCTTGAGTATGGTTATGAATTATTGTGTGTAGGAAGAAATGCCACCTTGATCTACTTACTGGACTTTATAGCTCACTCCTTTAACTTTCATCTATGTAGAGTGATAGCCCGCAGGATTGTGGACGTCCGGTTTGGTGATCGCGGCTGGCAGTTGAAGCCCCGTACTTCTTGTGGAAGTTTCTTTTTTAGTGTATGTTTTAGATGACAGTTTGACCATATAGTTCTCTTTGTATCGAAGCCATGTAATGTTGTTGGGCCTTAGACTCTTGTAATGCTTTGGAGCTTTTATATATTGTTTGGGACTTATTTGTCCAGCTCTTTGGTGGTTGTGTGTGGTTGGAGTTTTGTTTTTCTGTCGGGGTTTGCTTTGATTCCTTATTTTCAAAGCGTTGAGTGCACTCCCACCTGAGTGGCGTTCGCTACAATTGGTCGCGGACCCACACCCTATTGCCCTCCAGTTTGAGCTGTAGGGGATAGGGGCGGGGCTGTGACACATCTGTGGCTTCTGGTTCATCTAAAGACGCTTTGCAACTCCTCTCCTTCAAAGGTACAGGCCAAAACCCTTATCCCCTCCAAAAGTGGCGGCCAAATCAAGATCCTTGCTACTTTAATGGCGTTGCATGCAAAGATTCGAGAGTCTCCTCCATTGATCTAAGCAACCAGGCTCTGAGCACTGATTTCAAGAACGTTGCATCATTCCTGCTGAATTTAGAGAAGCTGAAGACTCTCTCTCTAAACTTCGCCAACATTAACGGCTCTTTCACTTTACAGCTGGTTTCTTCTTGCTCGAAGTCACTCACGGAACTTGATATCGCCGGAAATGGATTTTCCAGCGAGGTCCAGGCAATCTCCTTTCTCAGCTCCTATGAAAACCTCAAGGCCCTGAAACTCTCGAGAAACAGTCTCAGTTTTCTGGCGGCTGGAACATTTTCCGGCCGGTCAAGCCTTAAGTTTCAGAGCTTCTACCTCTCTTATAACCAGATCTCTAGCTCCAGAATATTTTCATGGCTATTTGCCAGTGACTGTGGAACCCTAGAGTACCTTGACCTTAGAGGAAACAGAGTGGCTGGAAATGTGTCCGCAATTTTTCCGATTGCCCAAATTTAGAGTTTCTTGATCTTTCAGGGAACAACTTTTCAAGCGAGCTCCTTGCTTGAGGTTCCCCGACTCTAAAGAGTTGAGGGCCTTGACCTTAGAGGAAACAGAGTGGCTGGAAATGTGTCCGCAATTTTTTTCGATTGCCCAAATTTAGAGTTTCTTGATCTTTCAGGGAACAACTTTTCAAGCGAGCTCCTTGCTTCTGGTTCCCTGACTCTAAAGAGTTGAGGGAGACAAAGAGAGAGAGGGGTTTCGGAGGTTGATCGGGAGAGTGAAAGGGAATCATGTCAAGAGAGAGGGGTTTAAAAACAATGTCTTTTTTAAATTTGTTTGCGTCAAAACAGTTAGTAAAAAATAAATAAAATATGTTTAGAGGGTTAGAAGATATAATAGAGTGAATTTCTATATAGCAAAATAGGTTTTACAACTTTATGTCAATGGAGAAATGAAAGTTGAAAATAAGGTACATGTGCATCTATTAATGGTACCTATCTCTTGAGTATCGTTATGTAATCAAATATTGATTTACTTTGTGCATATAACAAATTCGCCAACAAATTTACCGCAAGCCTTTACATGTTAACATTTGAAATTTTTCAAGGGCATGGGGTATTATTTTTAACATTAACGTGAGTGGTCATGGATTCAAATCCGACGAACAAAACCGCATTCTTATCTATTATAAAATCACACAGTGTTCAAAACAACGGATCGAGCCTACTAGGCGGTTCTGATCCGATACGATTGGTCCGATCGATTCCGACTAAATTGGCCAATTAGTGCCTCGATTTTTTTTTGAAAAATGTAATTTTGCTAAACATATTCCAAAAAAATTCAAAAAATCCCAAAAAAAAAATGTAAAAAATATTTAAAATTTACATCATCATCATCAATATTATTATTATTATTATTATTATTATTATTATTATTATTATTATTATTATTATTATTATTCTGTATTGTCATATAAAAAAGTAAAAAAAATATATTATAAGCATAATTGGGTTTCGGAGAAAATGATTAGGCACCTGAAGCAATACTTTTTTAGTGATCAATATATAGTAAATATAATTAATATTATATATAATATGTAATCAATCTATAATATATAATATATAATATAAATTATATTAATAAAGTAAATATAAATAAATATAATATTATAATATTTCAACTCAAGACCATGTTTATTTTTTGGGTATTTTGGAATTCAATTAAAAATGTAGGTAAATATAAAATTATTCGTCTCTTTGTGACAATTTTGATAAATTTCCATCTCTCTCTCATATTTGTGCCTATGTGTATGTTTGTGTGCCCCTCGAGGGGCTGGGGATGTAGGTATTAGATTGAAGTTCAAATCAGATGAACAACGAATAAATTTTATATCCCTTGAGTTGAGAGACTACAAGCTTGGTACCCTGTTGGGCTTGACCAACTTTGGTGCCTCTAAGTCTACTCGTCCAAGGCAGCGAACCCTACAGTTAGCAAATAAGAAATTTGTAATAATATATAAAGTTTTAAGTAAAGAAATAGAAGAAAGAAAATTGTTTCATGCAGGCTGGACCACATTTATGCAATATGCGGTCTAGAGGTATAAAGCATCGTAGTCCATCTAAAAACATGTGTAACTAACGTTCTAGATATTTTCTTAATATGATTATTATTTTTAGTTTTCAAATTATTACTAATTTTTTCATATTCATGATCTCCATGTTAAATACTATATATTCTCTAAAAATTAGGATGAAATTATATTTTAAAAAATGTATTTATTGCCAAGCCCGCATTTCTACAATATGCAGGTTGGGCGCATAGAAACCGTGTCTATTAGAATAATAAGGAAAAAAAGAAGAAGGAAAAATATATACTTTTTTCATTAAGAATAGCTTTGCAGACTCTGCATTGTGACAGTGCACATATTGGCCGATTTTTAGAACAAATCGCTGATTACTGTACTAGATTAATTGGACGATTAGTGCATTGAAAAAAAAAATGCATACTTGATTGTTGGAATATGGTTAGATCGGGATCTGTCACCGATCTTGAATTAGCCAGCCGATTATTTAAAAATCGGCCAATCTTTTAAACACTGAAATCATGATACTACATGTTTCAACATTGGACATGTCGTAATAAGTTTTGGGATGCCGTGACGGAATAATAAAAACTATCATCATCTACATACAACGTGTCAAACTTGTGTCTGTGTGTTGACACATGCCTACGGTTGCAATATTGGACATGTCTTAATAAGTGTCGTGATGCCGTGATGGAATAAGAAACACTATCGTCGGACAAGTTTGCTCACGTCGACACATGTCTACGTGTTGATAAGTGTCGACACATGATACACGAGGAAAAGCCTAAGTGTTTGGGTAACATTGATTAAAGTAAAAAGTTATATAACGTGTCAACTTTATGATATAGGATTAAGGTGCACCTCAAGAAACAATCAAAACATATTGTTTTGACACCACAAAACTTTCCACTATATCATCTTGACCTCACGATGTATAAATATTAAAATAAAAATTAATTTCAAATTTAAATCGTCTTTTTTAAAGATTTTCATGTGTTTATAGATCTACTTGATTTGTACTATTTTTAAAGTTTTAAATTTCAAAATTAGGTACAAAAAATGTTTTAGGCCATCACAAAGTTTGTTGGCACTAAAATTACATCTTTTAGAATAATTTTGATGGACGCCTTACTTGGATTGTTTACAATTCATACCCTTTCAAGATGTTGATATGTTCAATTTTCAACATTTTTGAGACTTTGAATTCACGAATAAAGACATATTCTTTTCAGCCCATTGTAAAGTTTCTAATATAAGAACCACATCTCCAAACAAATTTTAGAGGCATGCCTTACTTCTATAATATAATTAGGACGCTTTATAAAAACCTCACCTTTTAATTTAAATTTTAAAATTGAGTGGATTTATAGACTCTTGAAAATCGATAATGTAGAGTCTAAATAACTTGTTTCAAACTATACTGTTTTTAGAATTTGAAATGAGGTTTTTCTTCATATCCGCACAAGTGGAGGTCTAAATGATAAGTTGGAGGGATTTGCAATGTCCAAATATTCTCTTCAAGATAATTTTTGAGGTGCACCTTAATAGTATAAGGGTAGACTTATGTAAACTTCTTCCAAATCAAAATTCATTGTGAGAGAGATTGAGGGAGACTTTGCCAGATAGATTGGGCACTAGCAATAACCGCCGCACCACAAAAAAAACACGTGCATTTCGAAGGTGGGTCTCTCTCTCAAAACTCAGAAGACATTTTCGAAATTTGCAGAGGAACCAGGGCCATTTTCCGGCCCGATTTGTACTCTCCTTCCACTTTGAATTGTGAAGCATCGCCGTTCTCTGCAGCAGGGAGGTCCTTACTTCCTTTTTTCGGCAACAATGGCGACTGCCCTCAATCCTCCTCTGCCTTCCTCCACTCCCCGATCGACACGTCTGACGGCTTTCTCCTCCTCTTTTTATACCTCCTCTCTTCTTCCTAAACTCTCTCTCCATTCTCTAAATAGAGACTGCAAGTTCAAGTTTGAATTGAGAGCCTTGGATCAAGAGTTGGGGTTAGGGTTAGGGTTAAGGTCACGCCACAGTTCCTCTGACACAGGACACTTTCAGTTACTGTCGAGCTCCTCTGCAACTCCGATGTCCACTGCTGCTGCTTTGAAAGCGTCTCCGCCTGTGTTGCCTGTCAAAAGGGTTTGCCTTTTCTATTGTGATGAGACCAGAGAACTTGCAGAGAGAGTTGCAGCTGAATCGGATGCGGTCGAGCTAAGGAGCATTAGTTGGAGGTATTTATTGCTTCGTTACTGTGTTTGATGGAATTGTTTTTCTATGGATTTCATGGTGAATTCGTATGCAGTTCAGAGTTTTTGTTGCTCATGCTTGTTTAGCTTAATTGGTGAATTGTTGGCATTGTTTGATTTGTGGCCTCTATTTGATGTTCGCTGTTGCGCTTTTTTTGTAATTTCAATGGTGTATCCATTTATGTTTATAGTCAGTGTTTCGTGCTATTCTCTTGTTAAATTGCTGATTTCTGTTACTTTTTCTTCGTCAGCTCTAGTGTTTTGCATGTTGGCTGTTGGAAGGTAGGCATGTTTCTTGATCTTTCTTTAACTCCATTGATGTATTAGTATTGCCTCTCATTTTTTTTGCATGTCGTTTCTCCTTGAGTTTGATTGGTGTATGAGTATAGTGCTAGTTGTTTTTCAAGACGTCTTATGGCCACTACAGATTTTTCTGTTAGGTTTCAATTGCATGCAAATATTTTATGTTTATTGGGGAATTATCTGATGTTATTTTATCACATGATGAAGATTTTTTTTTTGAGCTTAAAATGCATTATGTAGATTACATGGTTAGGAGCATGTTTTTGGTCATCACACCATTCACATTATGATGACCTCTTCTTTGATAAATAGACGCCAAAGAATAGTGTCAATGATGCACCCATGGACTGTGTTTTTCAATCTGATAAATTCAAAGAGGAAAGATATAAAATAACAGCATAAATAACACTAAAATGTCCATCAGATGCCAAATATTACATCTGATCATCAATGTTTCTAACCTTACTAAAGCTTCTCCCGAGTTCCTAGTTCTTCGTCCCTTCTTGTGCACTTCTATACTTGTCTGTTGCACTTCGAAACAACTAGATTTAATGAGTTTCCATGCAATGTATGTTACTTTTCAAGAGAAACAAAACAAGAAATATATATATATATATATATAAATAAATAAATAGGGCAATGATATAATGCAACGATTGTATCATTGTATAATGTAACAACACTTCTAGAAAACTCCGTTTGTGGTATTTGTGTGACCTAAAATTTTGCACACTCTCTCTTCATCTCAATAATCAATCCAAAAAAAAAATTTCAATTTGAACTCTAGATATGGTCAAAATGAGTCCCCTCCAACAACGAATCTAGACCATTCATTCGGTGAATTTTTAGTTCTTAGCTTTTTCAAAATCACAATCATTTTTTTTCTACTTGAACATTGTTTATCTAATAATAAAGTCATCTAAAAAAATTGAAAAAAAAAAATTCCTTTTAAGGCCTAGATCTAAGCATCTTATCAAAATGGACAGCCTATGTTAATTGAGCTAAAAAAATACTTTTGAGGTTGCATTTTCAAATTTTTCTTTTTTGTGATCGTTCATTAGAATAAGAAGAATATATATTTTAAATATTGGATCAAACAAATGGCCCTAATATGGCTTTTGAAGATTGTTGCATTATACCACTATACAACCATTGCATGAAATCACTGCCCATATATATATATATATATATGACTAATTAAAAGACTTAGTGCAAATTAATTAAAAAACTTAGCACAAACTAATTAAAAGAGCAGAACCACATATAATCCATTAATTCACAAATTCACCAAAACTTACCAATCCAAATTGAAGAGTCTCAGGATTCTCTTCAATACGAAAACTAATTATACAAATATAGAAATCTACCATAAACAAATTCAAATGAACTTACATGGATAGAAGAGAGATGGACTTCGAGAAGGTCACACAAGAGGAAATGATACACTAACAGATATATAGACTGTGTACCAACTTTTAAAAAAAACACTCACACTGTATACAGACTTTCAGAAATAGAATTCTTAAAATTATCCTAAATTTTTCCGTTGCCTTCGAATGAGGAGCCGTTCTTCTTTTATAGAGGCCCTTTGCAGACTTATGGCACTCTTAAGTCCATAAAAGATGTCGGTGGACTTGAAAGTGGTTCAAATCCACTGCAGTATTGTCGGTGGACTTGAAATGAGTCCAAATTCGCTACAGTATGTCGATGGATTTGAAATGAGTTTAAATCCGCTATAGTAAGATTCACTAAAGTAGAATCTTTTGGAAAGTAGGGACACGTGGCTTGGATGGTGAATGGAGTCGATCCGTGCCTTTTTCTTTTACCTCTTGAACTTTTTCGTTTACCTCTGTGATGAAAAAGGGGAGGCATAGCTTGGGTCATATCCTTCTTCCCCCTTTGGATGGTCTTCTTCTTCTTCTCCTTTGGCAGATGTGGCTGAGGTGGACATATCATCTACCTCGTCAAATAGTAATAACGGCTGCTTTTTAATCTCTTTTTTAGTTAAAGTAGGGTTTTGAGTTTAAAGGGTTTTGACATAGTTTGTTAATTCGATATGGGAACCCTGCGGTTTGAGGGTTTTTTGAGGGATACTTTTTAGTATCAATGTGTTGGTGGAAAACATATTTGTATTATATTTATCCCACCATTTTATATAAAATTGAGGGATAAATATAATACATATATATTTTCTGCGAACAAGTTGATACTAAAAAGTATCCCTTAAAAAACCCTTAAACAACAGGGTTCCCATATCAAATTAATAAATTTTGTCAAAAACCTCTAAATTTAAAGCCTTAAAGAAGAGATTAAAAAACAACTTTTATTACTATTTGACGAGGCAGATGATATGTCCACCTCAACCACATCCGCCAAAGGAGAAGACGAAGAAGACCTTGCAGAGGGGGGAGAAGGATATGACCCAAGTTATGTCTCTCCTTTTTCACTACAGAGGTAAACAAAAAAGTTAAAGAGGTAAAAGAAAAAGGGACGGATCGACTCCATTCACTATCCAGGACAGTTGTCGCTATTTTCTCAAATACTTTACTTCAACGAAGCTTATTGTAGTGGATTTAAACTTATTTCAAATCCTCTGATGTACTATAGCGGATTTGGACTCATTTCAAGTCCACCGACAATACTAGAGCGGATTTGAACCCCTTTCAAGGCCACCGACATTTTTTATGGACTTAAGAGTGCCATAAGTCCACCAAGAGGCTCTATAAAAGGAGAATGGCTCCTCACTCGAAGGCATCAAAAAAATTTAGGATAGTTTTAAGAATTCTATTTTTGAAAGTCTGTATACAGTGTGAGTGTTCTTTCTAAAAGTTGGTACACAATCTGTATATTTGGTGGTGTATCATTTCCTCTCATGTGACCTTCTCAAAGTCCATCTCTCTTCTATCCATGTAAGTTCATTTAAATTTTTTTATGGAAGATTTCCATATTTGTGAATTAATGGATTATATGTGGTTCTTCTCTTTTAATTAGGTTGTGCGAAGTCTTTAGTTTGTGCTATGTCTTTTAATTAGTTTGTGCTAAGTTGGCATTAGAGCCATAACCCAAAAGTCTAAGTTAAAAAAAAAAAATACCAAAAAATTTACAAGACAAAGGATTATATGTGGTTCTTCTCTTTTAATTAGGTTGTGCGAAGTCTTTAGTTTGTGCTATGTCTTTTAATTAGTTTGTGCTAAGTTGGCATTAGAGCCATAACCCAAAAGTCTAAGTTAAAAAAAAAAAATACCAAAAAATTTACACGACAAAGGAATTTAGTAAGGCTAGTCCAGATTAGCAAAGTTGCAGTGGCCTACAAATCTTGTAAGTCCCAAGAACGGCAAGGTTAAGGCATGGTAGGGTCCGGACAAATAATAGCGAAGAAATAGTAATAAATAATATAGAAAAACAACTCCAAAATAGGAATATTTCTAAAGTTCGTTCCTGTGATGTTTATGGAAAAGGATCATTCGAATTTAGGAGTTATTATATTATCAAAACTGTTGAAAAAACTATTCCAGTTAATGAATCTCAACATAGATTCGAGTTATTATCAAAATCTTTGATCGAAAACATTAGAAGAAGAAATATAATTATTTACGTATCGGCTTAAGTCAAGTTGCAATAAAATCTTTAATCAGAACAAGGTGAAACTATTATGTACTTTTATGTTTAAGAGATTGTTGACATAAGAAGTTTACTGATTACTTATTAGGGATTGTAGAATCTAGCTTGAGTGAGGGACATATTTACTTTAATTGTTTTCCTAATTTTTCAGTCTCTTTAACAGATAAATATCCTCAAGGTTTTAAACTTAAACCTAAAAAGTTAGGGATTTGATATGGATATAGGATCCCAAAATCTAGCCATAGTCTATATAATATCCTATAAGGCTATGACTACACTACCTAGATGTTAAAAGAATAGATGAAAAGGGCAAACAGTATTTTTCCAAACTAATACAGAAAAATCCAATTTAATTACTCCCAGGACTATTTCTTGGAATGAGATCAGATTGCCTGAGAGATGGACCCTTCATAATGAAGACCCTTCATAATGAGGTTCAACCAAGACCTCTTGAAAATAAGGAGGTTGAATAAATAGTTGAATATGAAAATGGAGAAATTGAGATCTAGTTTACCCCATTAAGAAAAGCTAGAATAAATACAGGAACAAAGAATTAATATAAAATTCTTTGAAGGGTTAAAATATTTCTTAAAAGATCAAGGAATTCAAATTTCCTAATTTCAATAAAGAGATAAATATGGTAAAAAAAGAATTCCAAGTTTTTACCACTAAAGATGGCAAAGAAATTCATGCTGTCCATCCTCTTGAGATGCCCTTGGATATTGAAGGAATAAAAGCTGTTCCTTATGCTATCAGAGCCAAACATATTTGTGTTATATCTATGCCACCATTTTATATAAATTTGTCTTTGTAATTCGGGTATATAATCCTATTTATCAGTATCAAGGTTAATCATATAAGACCATTTGATAATCCAAGGGACCTCGTATGAGGCCATGAAATAAATGTGGTAGACCCTTTTAGGAACATGTTTTTTATTATCGACAAATTTTTGATGGGCTACTTGCACCGTGTTTGGAAGAATATCGGGATTTGATCCGCATACTAAGAACTAGTTAGGAAAATCTTCTGAGGTTTGTAATAACCGAAATTGTATAAAC